GAGCGCCTTATCCACCTGGCCATGCCGGGCACAAATGTTAATGACGAATTTGTAATTTATTCAGTTTGTGAACAATAACTTTAGGTTTTAGGATTAATAATTTTAACAATTAATAATGCTAAGTCGCGGGATTGAAACTCGTCGCCGAACATACTTGATCTTTCAGCCGGGAGAATTATAATGTGGCAATCACTCCCATTATTCGTTGGTATAGAGTAGCAGTCGGTTCGGTGTATTGACCGTCTTCCTGAGGCTGTTCCCCTAGTGGGTCAGCTTTACGTTTATGGACTTCCAACGTTAACATCCGGCATTCGATTCCCTGCGCTGAACGAAGTGCATATATCCCTCTGTAGAGCTTAGCAACAAAACAAACGCAACAAACCTCCAGTATAGCACTTCAAATTTAGAAGCAAACACCAAACAGACATAATGGTCACAAAACAAGGATTCCAATAACCTTCTTCAGAAATGAATTCCTAAAATCAGGAATCCGATAACCTTCTTCAGAAGTCAATTTCCAAAATCAGGAATCCGATAACCTTCTTCAGAAGTCAGTTTCCAAAATCAGGAATCCGATAACCTTCTTCAGATGTGTATTTCTCAGCCATTAAACTCAAACACTTTAATCATTATTCAATAAGTCAATAATAGTTCTCGTTAATCATATTTTTGTAGAAGCTGTATTAAAATCGGTCTTATATTTCAAATGCCGACCTTGGTTTTCAAAAATAGTAACTTCAGGAGATCTCCACCGTATGGAATGAACACCACAAAGTCTAGACCAAAGATGGCTACACTAAACATTAGCATTAAAGAAACTTAAACACTGCTTGTCTACTAATTATGTAATAATTTCTTACATTAAATTGTAATACTTATAAGTTGATAGAAAATCATTAACTATTGTATGCAGAAGCCTCATAAAGAGCCAATTGTTGAGATGTTCTGATAAATTTGCACACTATGTATATACACAAACATAGCGAAAATCGTCAGATAATGACCTGTACGAAGCGTCAGTTGATGTGTTCCTGTCAAAGATTCTTGGTGCAATATTGTGTTCCTCCTATGTTATGAAAGCTATTATTTTTGATTATTTTGTTGCAAATATTTTTGACAAACCTTTGTTGTGACACCTTTTCAGAAAAACAATGTTTTTTGTGGAATAATCTGTTGTTGTTTGAAACGGATATTTTGGTGGAATCATTTCTGGTTGCTGTTGTTTTTGTTGGGTGGTTTAGTGTAATCATTTCTGGTTGCTGCTGTTTCTGTTGGGTGGTTTAGTGTAATCATTTCTGGTTGCTGCTGTTTCTGTTGGGTGGTTTATTGTAATCATTTCTGGTTGCTACTGTTTATGTTGGGTGGTTTAGTGTAATCATTTCTGGTTGCTGCTGTTTCTGTTGGGTGGTTTGGTGGAACCATTTCTGGTTGCTGCTGTTTCTGTTGGGTGGTTTAGTGTAATCATTTTTGGTTGCTGCTGTTTCTGTTGGGTTGTTTAGTGTAATCATTTCTGGTTGCTGCTGTTTCTGTTGGGTGGTTTAGTGTAATCATTTCTGGTTGCTGCTGTTTCTGTTGGGTGATTTGCTGGAACCACTTTTAGTTGCTCTTGTTTATGACAGATATTTTAGGGGAACGTTTTTGGCTACATAATTATATTTAGAAACGAAAAAACGTATAATTTTTAGGACCATATCATATTTATTTCCTCTTTTCCCGTCTCATTTGCTTTATATAAAATAATTCAACGTAATCGATAAAAATTGTTCCTTGTTTATAAAACGA